GCTGGGGGTCTGGGGTGTCTGTACAGCCCCCGGGAGCGCTGAGTCTCGGCGGCCTGTGCCCTGGCTCGGTGGCGCACCCCAGGCCCCCCCTAATGGGACGGTGGGACATGAAGGGGTGTGATGTCACTCTTTTCATGTGACCGTGGCGTCAGGTGGCGGCGGGGCCCAGAGGCGCCAAGGCCGCGCACCTGCCGGCAGGCGGGTGAACCTGAATGTGCTGCGCGAGTTCCTGGACATGTGCGCGGGCAGCAAGCTGAGGGCCAGGGCGGGCAGCGGCCTCTGGGTCCGGGGGCGCCCCCAAGTGCCGGATGCCCAGAGAGAGAGGGAGCGCTGCGCTCCCCGCCCCTGCGGCTCGGCTTTGGGAAGGAAAACGGGGGGCGACTCGAGTCCATCTCTGCCCCGCGTCCAGGCACTCCCCGCTGTCCCCGTGTGTGGGGTGGCGCTGCATGCTACCCTGGGTACCACTTCTCCCAGCTGCCTGTTCCTCCCCGGTTCGCGCAATCAGTTACGCCAAATGAGGAAAAAGGACCCTGGTGTCGCACAGGCGAAATGCTCACAGGCCGCTTGGCAATCGTCATGGGCCCCAGTGACACCATCCTTGCCTAGGTAGAGGCAAAGGTCAGCTGGAGGCCTGACTCTCTCAGGGGCACATGACACTGTCCCAGCTTTCCAAATACTCTCTCAGAATTAAGATACCTATGGAATACCTACACGAGAGGTTTTCATTTGATTGACGCTGGAGTATATGACGCCTGTTACATGCTGGGTTGAACGGTTTCCTTGGCAGTTCACCCACGGGGTTCATGACCCCAGTCTGACCCCAGGACACTGCATACACACTCTTTGTGGAGGACAGTGAATGTGCTTCCGTGGCCAGTAGCACCCCTTGCCCTGACGCTGTTTTTCATCAGGCCACGGAATATGAGTGTGGTCAGCTATTGCTAACTGCAAGTTTTGTTTGTCCAGAGTTTGCAAATGACTGTTGTTGGCCGTTACTGAAATTGCTTTTACTAAAAGAACGGGACGCTTCTGTCTCCCGCAGGCAATAGTTTGAGATGAGTATCTCACAGGACCGTTTGGCTTGATTGCACAGGGTGATACCATTTCAACGAAACTCTTCAGTGCCACCCTCGAGAACATCATGCGACGACTGGAATGGGAAGGAATGGGAGTGAAGATAGATGGTCGGCAACTACACCACCTCTGCTTTGCTGATGACATTGTTTTAATAACACCAAACATCAGTCAAGCGGCACAAATGCTGGCCGACTTTGACCGTGAGTGTGGAAAGGTAGGACTACAGCTGAATCTTACGAAGACAATGTTTATGAGAAACAACCTTGTTCCTGACGCCCCATTCGCTCTCAATGAAACGACCATCTCCGAATGCAACAGCTATGTGTACCTAGGTCGAGAGGTCAACATGACAAATGACCTGGCACCCGAGCTGCGCAGGAGGAAGAGAGCGGCTTGGAACGCCTTCAAGAACGTCGAAGAAATAGCTAAGAGGACGAAGAACCTCTGGCTCCGGGCACATCTCTTTGATTCCACTGTTCTTCCTGCATTAACATATGCGTCAGAGACCTGGGCCCTATGCAAACAAGATGAGAACGCTATTCAGGTCTCCCAAAGAAGAATAGAAAGAGCTATGCTTGGAATATCACGTTCACTCAAATGAGAGAGAGAATCCGGAGTTCTGACATCCGTCGACGATCAAGAATCAGGGACGCTGTCTCATATGCCAAGGTGCCGAAAATCAGATGGGCTGGTCACGTAATGAGATTTAAAGACGACCGCTGGACTAGAGCTGTTACCGACTGGATTCCACGGGATGTAAAAAGACCGCGTGGCCGCCCACCTTCCAGATGGTCAGACTTCTTCATCAAGATCATGAACGATCGGTTTGAGGCCCTTCATGTTCCCGGAGCGAACAGATGCCATTGGGCTACACTAGCACGCGACAGGGACAAATGGAGACGTTACTGGCGCCCGCTCGAGCAAATCGCCGACTAATGGGAAGTAAAGTGATTAAGTGATTAAGTGCTTAGGTATCTCAGAGCTGATGCATGGTCCATACGGAATCATTCCTCTAGTGGTTTTAGTGCTCATCAGGACACCTTTGCTTGCCAGCGCTTTAGGAAGTGGATCTTTGGACAGATGTGAGAGTGTGTCGGAGGAGAATGGGGGGTCAGGAGTAGGATACTCTGCAGCCAGACAAGGATAGATCCTCGGAACCCAGTGTGGTCGCCAAGTCTTCCGGGAGTGACTTCTGAGTGCATAGCCAGGAGTTATCCCTGAGCACCTGCAGGTTTGGCCCAAAAACTATAAATAGAGAATGGGAAACTTTGTGGATTGGGGCTCGTGGAGGCAGGGCAAACCACAGAAACCCCCTATCTCAGGACAGTAGAGAGCTCCGGCCTGTCTCAGTAGAAGGACCCAGATTTCTTTATAAAAAGAAAAACAGCTAGTGGTTCTTTTTCAAGTACTGAATACCATATGCTCAAATTTCATAAGCAAAGTCAGACGAAGCTGACTAAAATTTAATGCTGCAGCATCTATGGAGGAAGTGCACCAGCCCAGTCTGCATTACGTTTGATCGACGTGGCCCCTACGGACGGACTTAAAAGCATGCGGGGTATTTGCGCAAGATCGGGCACGGTGTGAAGCCACCATTTATTTTCCTAGAGACATCGCTTGATTAAATAGAAACATTTTTTTTTCGGCAAGAAACAGATGTCCATTGCAATAACCCTGAGAGGATTTTGTTTTTTTTTTCTCTTTTTGGGTGACACCTGGCAATGCACAGGGATTACTCCTGGCTCTGTACACAGGAATTACCCCCGGTGGTGCTCAGGGGACCATATAGGATGCTGGGAACTGGGAATCGAATCCGAGTTGGCCGCGTGCAAGGCAAACGCCCTACCCGCTGTGCTGTTGCTCCAGCCCCAACCCTGAGAGTTTGCATGTCCCATCAATGACCCGAGAGAAAACAGCACTGCCCCTTGGCAGAGCACAGGTCAGCGGTTTCCAGAAAAAGCATCACATCAAGAGAGCAGGAAAACTAGAAACTTGGGCTGAGTCGGTAGTGGGGGGTTAGCTCATAAGCGTCTCTTTAGAGCCCACTGTTTGTCAGGCACACGTGGGGCCCTGGGGAGCAGTCCTCGCGTCGGGGCCTTGGGACAACGCACAGTCCTTCTCTTGCAGTGAAGACAGACGTGGCCCCACAAGAGATTTCCACATTTTGTTTGTGCCCCGGCGTAGCCTGCTGTGTGAGCAGCGGCTGAAGGACCTGGGCGTCCTGGGCTCCTTCATCCATAGGAAGGAGTACGGCCTGGACCTCATTCCCTTCGACGGGGACCTTCTCTCCATGGAGTCGGAGGGCGCCTTCAGAGTAAGTTCAGTGTTTGCCCTTTGAACTTGACACTCCTTTCTGCCTCTTTTGTGATGGTGACACTCACACTGGCATTTTAGTGATTCCTGGAAGTGTCCAGTTTCTTCCTTTTGGGGAGAGATGGGAGTTGGTCCACACCCAGCAGTGCTCAAGGTTTACTCCTGGTTCTGTGCTCAAGGATCACTCCTGCGCTTGCTCGGGGACCATTTGTGGTGCTGGGGCTAGAACCCAGATTGACTGCGTGCAAGACCAGCGCCTTCCCCTGTGCTGTCTCTCGGGCCGCTGCTCCTCTTGCTTATGGAGACCCTCCTGTTCCAACAAATTGGCTTAAAATTGTTGTTGCCCTTACTGAATTCTCAAAAATGAATTGTCCTTAAATGTGTTGATTTCTGGTGTTTCTCTGCTGCTGTTCGATGTTTGTCCTTGTGCCCGTCCCACCCTGAATTCACTGTGGCTGTGGAGGAAGCTTTGAGAGTGGAAGGCAGGGCCACTCCACCCTTAGTCAAGTCTGTCACTGCATTTTTCCAGTTAGCCCTTTGTGAGTGATTTTGTTTCCATGACCCGCCTTTCCCCTTGATTGAGTCTTGGCAAGACCTGAAGACTTTTATCTTACATTTTCATTTTCTAGAAATAAAATTGCTTACATTTTTCATTCAAACTCTTGAGGTTCTTCAGTGTGACCTCAGGGCTGGGCACAGGGTGTGCGGGAAATTCTGTTTCTCCCACACGCCCTTCCCAGCCTGTTTCCTACTGGTTATTTTCAGCACATATTTATTTGTTTGCTTTGCTTTTGTTTTTGCTTGGGGCCTCACCTGGTGATGCTCAGGGGTTACTCTTGGGGGTCCTCAGGGGTCCATATTTGACTCTTTGATGCCAGGGAAGCACCTTCCCACTATACTATCTATCTGGGCCCCCGAAGTTTTTTTTTTTTAAATATTGTCTCTTTCTGAAAGGTTGTGTTTTGTTTGCAAATATGATTTTATATGTTTTGTTTACTATCTTTATGACAGGGAGCACTTCTGAACAATTTCTCTTTCAAAGTGTCAGGTTGGCTCTTAGGGGCGCCCGGGCCAGAACTCTGTCTCTTTCTTCTGTGGGGTGAGGTTTCTCCATGCTTAGTCCCTTAAGAGAATCTGTAGACCCAAAAGCATTGATTTATGTGAGTTTTCAACCGGATGTTTTTCCTATGGCATATTCTTCACTGGAAATAGGGAAAATTGGGCATGGCTGGAGTTCTGGCAGGCCGAGTGGGGACCCCCCCCCAAGTGTGTAACCACCACCTAGAGTGTGCGACCCTCAGCCTCAGCAAGAAAGGGAGGGAAAGGGAAAATAAATACCGGAATGAAGGGGAAGATGCAAGGGGGAAACACATCAGCTTGATAATGTCTTCTAAAAATGGCGTACCAGGGCCAGAGAGATAGTAATGTGGGTAGGGCACTTGCCTTGTCCCTTGCAGACCCGGGTTCATTCCCCGGCACCTCATATGGTCCCCAAGCCCCCCCAAAGTGTGAGCGTCCTACGCTCGTGCGCATCTAGTGACTCAAAGCCCAGTGCTCTCCCCTGACAGGAAGTCTCTGGAGTCTCACTTGGGATGTCCCCTCCCGTGCAGGTTATGTAAAGCTGCCACCCGAGAAATTCGTCCCGAAGAGGCAGGGTGATGGGCAGGAACTGCCCACAGAGGCCAAGAAGCTGCCGCTGAACTCAGCTGAGGAGCTCTACGTCGAGATCCGAGACCGCAACTTCAACGCCGTGGGTGCTGTGCTCAGCAAGAAGGCCAAGGTCATCTTGGCCGCCTTTGATGTAATTGGGGCCTGGGTCCAGGCGGCACGTGGGCTGTGGGCGCCCGGGAAAAGGTGGTGCCAGGCCCTCTCCTGGTGTCAGGTCCTTTGCCAGTCATCTTCTGCACTACCTGTCCCTCCCTCCTTCCTCCCAGCCACTGGCGGTGGTGGCATCTCCGCTAGCTCCTGCATCTAGGGAATCCGGGTTCAGCCCAAGCAGGCTGGAACAGCGAGTGATAATGAGAGCACAGTCCCCGGCCCCCAGCTTCCTTAGCACCTCACGCCCTCCTGCTGCTCCTTTATTCTGGGTTCAGCTCACTTTTGAAACCTGAATCTGTAAAATGATAGAAGCTGAATTTTTTAACTCTGGGGGAAGTTTTTAAAAATCACTTTTTCTCTTGAAGGATGGATTTCCTGATTTCATCTTTTTTAGGAGTTATCTCCACTATATCAGTATTTGTTTTTCTTTGGTTTTTTTTTTTTTTGAGGGGAGGCACACCCAGAGGTGCTCAGGGCTAACTCCTGGCTCTGCGCTCAGGGATCACTTCTGGTGGGCTGAGGCAACCACATGGGATGCTGGGGATCGAACCCAGGCTGGCCGCATGCAATGCAAACACCTCGCCACTGTTCTGTCACTCTGACCCCATGGTTGTTGTATTTCTGAAGTTGCTTTTGTCTCACTTGGGTTTTGTTCCTCAATTTTTTATTTCCTCACCGTGACTTATAAAGCTATGGATAAGAAGTGTCAGGCATTCACTGTTCCAGTTCCGAGCTCGTCATGGTGTCCATTTCCCTCCTTTCCTGCTGCCAGTGCTCAGGGCTGGCTCCTGGCAGGCCTCGGGGTTCTGTGGGGAGGCCGGGCACTGAGCAAGCGCCTCCCACACTGTATAGCTTGGACCCAGGAAAAGTTTTACACTTGATTTGCTATTGTTGAGGTCTCAGGCTATATGAGCGTTAGCTTTTGTGGCTTCAAGGCACAGTTTGCTGAGCTCCACATCCCTGGCAGGGACCATGCAGTGTCAGGTGTGGCCTGCGTGGGCCCTGGGCTCCCTCCCGTCCACATGGTCTCCCAGTGCTGCAGGATGTGGCTGTCGCAGTACCTGGACCCACCAACCTGCCTTTTCTATTTTCCTGTGGCTGTGGGATCTGGTTATAGCCTAATTCGTTTTGTGTCCATTTCTCACACTAAAAATTAATTTGGGGGAGCCGGAGTGATAGCACAGCAGGTAAGGCGCTTACCTTGCATGCAGCTGACCTGGACTCACTCCCAGCCTTCCATGTGGTCCCGGTGCATGCCAGCAGTGATTCCTGACTGCCAGGCCAGAAGGAAGAGGGCAGAGCCATGCTTCAGCTCTGCACCACCAGGTCTGATCCATAAAGCTGTAGGGGCGGGGGTGGGGGGGAGAGAGAGAGAGAGAAGGAGAGAAGAGATTGGGAAATTGGGTAGAGGGTGGAGATGGCAGGGCTGAGCAGGGTAGGCTGGAGCACACTGTGTTCCTCCCCAAAGTCAAATCCAGGATGGCAGCGTGGAGGACGTTTGCCTTTAATGCGGCCAACCCAGGTTGTGATCCCTGAGTGCAGCACCAGGAGGGAGCCCTGAGCACCGCAGCGTATGGCCTCCGCCGAAACAAACAAAAAGAGATCCCATGGCCCATTGGGCAGAGAGGAGTTGGTTGACTCCAGGTGTCCCTCTCGAATCCTCCGCAGAACCCCACGGACATCTCGGCTATGCCTCCCTCAGCATGCGGCTGGCCCAGCTGCTCTCCCGGCCTGGTTGGCGCAGAATCGAGGAATTTCTGCACATCCTCCCGGGTCCCCACTTCGAGGAGTGGCAGCCGCTGCCCAGGTGCCTGCAGAAGAAACGTAGGTTTGTGAGTGATTTTGTTTTCGTGACCCGCCTTTCCCCTTGATTGAGTCTTGGCAAGACCTGAAGACTTTCATCTTACATTCTCATTTTTAGAAATAAAATTGCTTACATTTTTCATTCAAACTCTTGAGGTTCTGCAGTGTGACCTCACGGCTGAGTGCAGGGTGTGCGGGAAATTCTGTTTCTCCCACATGCCCGTCCCAGCCTGTTTCCTACTGGTTATTTTCAGCACATATTTATTTGTTTGCTTTGCTTTGGTTTTTGCTTGGGGCTTCACCTGGTGATGCTCAGGGATTACTCTTGGGGATCCTCAGGGGTCCATATTTGACTCTTTGATGCCTGGGAAGCACCTTCGCACTGAACTATCTGTCGGGTCCCCGGGACATTTTCTTTTTTAAATGTTGTCTTTTTCTGAAAGGTGGATTTTTGTTTACAAATATGATTTTATATGTTTTGTTTACTATCTTTATGACAGGGAGCACTTCTGAAAAATTTCTCATTCGAAGTGTCAGCTTGGCTCTTAGGGGCGCCCGGGCCAGAACTCTGGCTCTTTCTTTTGTGCGGTGAGGTTTCTCCATGCTTAGTCCATTAAGAGTATCTGTAGACCCAAAAGCATTGATTTATGTGAGTTTTCAACCGGATGTTTTTCCTATGGCATATTCTTCACTGGAAATAGGGAAAATTGGGCATGGCTGGAGTTCTGGCAGGCCGAGTGGGGACCCCCCCCCCCAAGTGTGTAACCACCACCTAGAGTGTGCGACCCTCAGCCTCAGCAAGAAAGGGAGGGAAAGGGAAAATAAATACCGGAATGAAGGGGAAGATGCAAGGGGGAAACACATCGGCTTGATAATGTCTTCTAAAAACAGCGTACCAGGGCCAGAGAGATAGTAAGGTGGGTAGGGCACTTGCCTTGCCCCTGGCAGACCCGAGTTCGTTCCCAAGCACCCCATATGGTCCCCCAAGCCCCGCCAAGTGTCACCCCCAGTGCCAAGCCAGGGAGTTAGCCTGAACCCGTGCATTTCCCCAACGCTTCCGGTGCCTGTCTGCGCCTCTGCGCCCTCTGCCATTGGAAGCTTTTGCAGGTGTGTTTGAGATGTGACCGCGTTTCCCTGCTTTCTTGGGTGTGTGAGTTGATTTGTGGCTTGCTGCTGCTGGTCTCAAGACACGACCTTTCTAGAACGCAGGTGCATCACCAGATTCCTGGGCACCCTTTCCCTCAGCATGTTGGTCTCAGCAGCACCTTAAGAGAAAGAACCCGGGCCTCGCTGTGCCATCGGCCCCTGTGGTTAACGTAAACAATTTTTTTTTTAATACGGAATTATGGCTGGAGCGATATTACAGCGGCAGGGCGTTTGCGTTGCACGCAGCCAACATAGCCGACCCGAGTTCGATTCCTCCACCCCTCTCGGAGAGCCAGGCAAGCTACCAAGCGTATCTCGCCCGCCAGGCAGAGCCTGGCAAGCTCCCTGTGATGTATTCGATATGCCAAACTCAGTAACAACAAAGTCTCCAATGGAGACGTTACTGGGCCCGCTCGAGCAAATGGACGAACAACAGGAGGGCCTTTACTTTTTTCACTTTACTTACGGAATTCTGGGTGGTGTGGAGATAGCTTAGCGGGCTAGAGCCCCAGCATCACCTGGGGAGCCCCGAGTTCAGGACAGGAGGGACCCACACACCACCAGATAATTCCCTAGGGGCTTTTAAAGAGGAATTGCAAGGGCTGGAGCTATATACATTCAGAGGGCATTTGCCTTGCACGCAGCTGACCCAGGTTCAATCCCCGGCATCCCATGTGGTCCCCGAAGCACCACCAGAATAATTCCTGAGTGCAGAGACAGGGGTATCCCCCGAGCCTCGCCGGGTGGGAGTTGTTAGAGGTGTCTCTGTAGTAATACGCCGTTTTTCAAAATGAATGTTTTGTTTGGGTGCTCGTGGCTGGGCAGGGCTGGGCAGGAGCCGGCTTAGCTGTCCGCAGGCAGACACAGTTCCCGCTCTGAACAGTCACCTGGGCCCTTGAGCAGTTCGAAAGATGCCCCCTAATGCTTTCCTTCCCCTGAATCATCCTCTCTACTCTGCTCCAATGCAGAGTTTCTGGTCCTTTTCTGAGGACTCTTTGGACATCCTGACCAGGGTGGCTTAGACTCCAGTGTGAGGCTGCACCCCAGACCTGGCGGACCCATCCTACGGAATCTTTGGGGATGTTATGCTCACTCTGGGCCACTCTTTGGGAGGTGTCCCTCTGCACCCCGCCCCCAGTCTGCACATCTCCACGGTGTTATATTTTTATTGTTAATTTTTTCACCCGGTGATGCACAGGGGTTACTCCTGGCTCTGCACTCAGGATTTCCTCCTGGCGGTGCTCAGGGGACCATGTGGGGTGCTGGGATTCGAACCCACGTTGGCTGCATGCAAGGCAAATGCCCTCACTGCTGAACTATCGTTCCAGCCCCAATACTAGAAGCTTCGGCCTGGGATTCTTGTTCCTTCGGGTCTTTTGCATGGAAGGGCGGGTGTGAGTCAGAACTGAGCGACTGTGGGCGTTGGTGGGATTCTATAGCATGTGGGGTGCCCGTGAGTCTTCCGAGGCATGTGAGGTCGCCCCTGGCAGGTTCTGCAGGGCAGCTGGGGCTAGGACCTGGGTTAGGCCAGAGACCTGCCTCACCTCCGGTCACCTTCTCTCAGTCCTGTTTGCCGGCTTGCTCTTCTCTTCGAGCTCTTGCTAACTCTGATTTTTCCCCCTTACATGTGACAATTTCCTCTATCTGGATATTTTGAAGTTGAATGCCAGCGTGAGGTGGGTGACTGGGCTGGCTGATGACATTGAATAGATGCCGTTTGCATATGTCCTGTGCCTTCAGGCTATATATAGTCTTGAACTGTGTTTGCAGCTCCTGACATTTTGTTTGGAACGAAAGACTGATTTTTTTTTTCCTTTTTTTATTAGTGAAAAACCATGAGGTACAGTTATAGGCTTACAAATTTTGTGCTTGGGTTTCAGTTATACAATGATCAAGTGCCCATCCCTCCACCAGTGCCCGTCATCCATCCCCATGGGTCCGAGCATCCCCCCCCACCCTCATCCCCCGCCCCCCCCCCCCCGTCCCATCCTGCCTCTGTGGCAGGGTATTCCCCCTTGTTCTCTCTCTCTTCTTTTGGGTAATGTGTTTTGCAAGAGAGGCTTTGAGTGGCAATCATGTTTGGTCTATCGACTACTTTTAGCATGCTTCTCCCACCCTGGGACGACCCTCACAACACCCTTCATTTGGTACTCTCTTCTCTATCTAAGCTTCCTTTTCACCTAGAGCCTGTGGCTGGCCTTCCATTCA